ATTGGTACCCAAGGGAACCTAAATTAGGTATCAAATGAGCCTTTCTAGGAAGGGCCTTCTATACAACTAGAACGTCAACCCTGATTAGGCCTTTCTTATAATCACCTGTCTCATCTGACGGAGCACGCAGAGTATGGCTTGGGATCTGGGAAGATAAATATAGGAGGAAATGGTCTCAGCTAACTGGTCCCAGCCTCTGAAGGGGTTCTACAAACAGATAGTGAGATCAGATGGCAGAGCACAAACATAGACCCAGTTAGGTTCTGGATCATTTTCAAAGTCTGCCCTGTGAAAATGCATTTCAATAATGCAGTCACTTTATTCATTAATGGATGCAGTAATGCAAAGATAGTCATTTGGGAGTTGGTGGCTTTTTGAATCTCATAAAATGAATAAATTTTATTTATTAAACATTTTAAACCACCCAATAGCTCAATCTCTCTGGCAGCTTCCAATAAAACACACTACAAAATACAATCTGAGTAAAAACATATATGATAAAATCAAATAAAATACAAAATAAAAACACAATATAAACTAGGCAGCAGCATGGTGGTCATTCAAAAACTAAGAATTAAAGTACAATTGAAAGCCAATTAAAAAACCTGGGGAAGGTCTTCACCTGGCACCAAAATGATGCTAATGTGGGTGCCAGTTGAGCCTCTCTGGGAGGGAGTTTATCAATGTGGGCATCCCCCTTGTAGAGACCCACCTTACTACCTCTAGTGAGGAAAATTGGAGGAGGGGCTCATTAGATGATCTTGAAGTCCTGGTAGGTACATATGGGAGAAGGTGCTCCTTCAGGTGATTTGGTGTTAAGCCATTTAGGGCTTTAACTGCCAAAGTCAGCACTTTGAATTGGGTTCGGAAAAAGTCTGGTAGCCACTGTAGATGGCAAAAAACTGGCATATCATATTGGCTAGTCCCAGTAAGCAGTCTAGCTGCTCAATTTTCAGCTAACTGAAGTTTCCATGTACAACACATTGCAGTAATCCAACTGGGAAGTTACCAGAGCATGAATAACTGTTGCAGGGCAGTTGGTAAATCAGCCAAAGCTGATAAAAAAACACTCTGTGCTTAGTGACTGTGATGGATCTAGGAGCACCTCCAAACTGTGAACCTGTTCCTTTAGGGCAAACCTGGACCCCTCCAGGCAGGCAGTGCACCACTCAGCTGGACAGGTGTACCACCCACACATAGTATCTCTGTCTTGCCTTGATTCAGTCTCAGTTTATTGGCTCTCATCCAGTCCGTTGCCCAAGTGCCAACACAAACCACCTCACCTGTCTTAGATTAAAAGGAGAAGTAGAGCTGGGTATCATCTGCATATTGATGACACCTCAGCCCACATCCCCAGCAGTTACATGTAGATGTTAAAGAGCACAGGAAATAACATGGAGCCCTGAAGGACTCCATAACCCAACTGCCGTGAGGCAGAAGACTAATCCTCCAGCACCACCTTCTGAAAATGGCCATCCAGCTAGGAGCAGAATTACTGTAGCACAGTGCCCCCACATTCAACTCGGACAGCCTGACCAGAAGGATACCATGGTTGTTGGTACTGAAAGCTGCTGAGAGGCCCAGGAGGACCAAAAGGATTGCATTTCCATTTTTATCCCAGCACAGGTCATCCCAAAGGGTGACCAAGACAGTTTCTGTTCCACAGCCAGGCTGAAATTGAATTGAAATGGATCTAGAAAAGCAGTTTTGTCCAAGAAAACCAGGATCCTATCAGCAATGAAATGTGTTATTTGAATAAGGTATTACTAACCTCCTGATTTTTTGCCTCTATCATGGCTTTTCCCCAGAAACTTTATTAATGGTGTTTGTTTAGGAAGAAGCCAAATTTTGTATCTTCAATGAGAAAACAATCCTTTCCAGAACAGAGAAGTAGATCATTTTATGTCCTACATCCTAACTTGGGCAGTCTATCCAGAAAAGATCCCATGATGAATAAAAAAATTACTGGAGAGATCTTAAGTCCTACTTCGCCTGTCCCTTTCCCAGTGCAAATCATCTCACATGATGACAAAGACAGTTTCTGTACTTAAAATTAGGCCTGAAAACAGATTCAAATGGTTCTAGAAAATATGCCAAAAGGGAGGAGAAAACAAAAACAGAATGAAAAGCTTAAAATAAAGGCCTTAAAAGCATGTTTAAAATTAGTGTTTTATTAATATCCTGGTTGCAAATGAAATTGAATTCTCACTTAATAAGCAGTAAAAAATGCTGAACTAGTAAAATAAGACTATTGTACTTGTAAAAATGAACACACACATACATACACACTTGAACAAAAGCCACTTGAACAAAAAAAGCTAGGTAAATGTAGGGAGCCATGGAAATGACCTTGAAAAAGGCATCCAGGAGCCATTAGGACAACAACATGAAGGAACATGAGTTAAGCCCAGGGGAATGGGAAAGTATTAGAGACTCAGATTGGCATCTCCCTGACTCCTTTGGGATATGAGAGGAAGGGCAGACTTGCAAGATTCTGTTACTATAGCCTATCTCAATAAAATATAGTTTTAAAACATAGTCATCCTGTGGTGTCAGTTTCCTGGTCTTTTTACCTTGTAGGGTTGACAATACAGTTCCATTGATTAGGGAACTCTACTAAGGGATCAAGTGCTTAGTTTAGTATCCACCATCTCTTTGCACTCCAGGGTAACTAATCAGCAGTCTTAGAACACTCATCCAAAGAGTGATGGTGGCAATTTTGGTACCAGCTGGAACAATCCTGGTATTGGTCCCCTCCAGACCAAGAACATCATGCCCAGTTAGATGCAGTTTCTAATCAATGAAGCTGATGCCCACAAACTGCACCTGATGGGTTCCCCTTTACTTGTTGGGCCATGACCAGGAAGACACAGCTGAGATTTGACTGCCCAGCAACCAGGTCTCAACCATGCAGTACATAGCTACTTCCCCTAACATGCTATGTGAACCATGTCTGCATGAGGCAGCACCCACTTGTGCCTGGTCCTGAATCATGGGAAATATGAGGGCTTCTGGGGGGGGGCAAATATCCCCTT